AAAAAGAATAAAGGGGAAAAAAGTTCAAAAAAAGATAAGAAGAAAGAAAAAAGCATAGGAAGTACAAAGTGTCAAACGGTACACAAAAAGCCCAAAGTAACTCATTCAAACAATTACATTATAAAGCATCTACTAAAAGCCAGATACCGTTTTAGGCAACTGGGATACAGAAGTAAATAAAAAAAACAGAAAAATACCTGGCCTCATGACCCTTATATCCTAGTGGGGGAAAATATAAACCCGGTAAGTGACTAAATCATATGGATGTTACAGAATGATAAAGATAAGGAGAGAGTGCATAGGTACGCTAATGATAAGGTGGCTAGTCAGAGAAGGCCTCACTGACAAGGTAATACTACCCAAAATATGAAGGAGGCAAAGACCTGAGCCAAGTAGGTATAGGAGAACATTTCAGGCAATAGAACAGTAACTGCAAATATCTTGGGGGTCGGATGTGCTTGAGGCCATTCAGTAAAGCAAACAGGAGACTAGTAATAGATAAAAGACTGAAGCAGGACCAGGTCATACAGGATTTTGAAGGCCATTCTAAAGACTTTGGCTTTACTCTGAGTGAAATGTGTAGTCCTTTATTGAGATGATAATCTCAAACAGATGATCTGACTTTTGGCGGGGATGAGGGGATCATTCTAGATGCTGTGATTCAAACAGACTGAAAACTAGACAGGTTGCTGTCAGCAATCTGGATGAGAAAAGACTGTTAACATGGACAGGTGAAGGTGATGAGAAGGGCTTGTGAGTGTGGTAGATTTAGAAACTGAAGTCCACAGGATGTTCTGGCAGATTATACGAGTGAAGGATAAGGTTCTGATCTCAACAAATACCTCATTAGTGGCAATGAATGTAAATACAATAAACCTGCCAGTCAAAGGGCAGACTTTGGCTTAGATTAAAATAAATAATCCCAGTGATATGCTGGTTACAACAGCACATAAAATAGGAGCATAAAGAAAAGTTAAAACTAAAATGATGAAAAAAGTGATGAAACAAATATCTAACAGCCGTGGCTATATTAACATCAATCAAAAGAGGAGTCTTCTCTTTTCATCTTTCTGTCCTCTTTCTCTGTTTGGCACAGGTTAACTCTGTCTTCCCCACAGAGTGCTTCTTTCTGGCACAGGTTAACTCTGTCTTCCCCACAGACTGCTTCTTAAGGGACAAGGCGTCAAGCTCTCATTTGGATCCATCCACAAATGAGAACAGTCTCCCAGTGGTAGTAAGCACCATGTAAAGATTGTTATTTTAAATGTTTTCCGTCTATTTAACGTTATTTTTCCTTCGTCACAAATATTAATTGATTTGCAAGGACGGAGCTGTTACTCTAAGGCGAAACCAAGGCTGGTTGCCTGTACCAATTTCGCCTCTACCAAAGTGACATGCCAATTCCCCGTGAAAAGCTTAAAAAACAAGGGCTGACGTTCCGCTGATACAGGACAAGTGGCGTCCCAGCCAGCTCGTGGAGCTGGGGGGCGCGGACCTGCTGCCTCCACCTTAGCGATGTTGGTGCGGTGGCAGCAAGCAGCGGAACCAGCAGGCTGGAGGGTGGGCAGGGGGCCCCCATTTCCTAGGCCTGGGAATGAAAGGGAGTGTAGCCATTGATTGGCGACTCAAACACCACCCAGAGATGTCCCAGACGCGATGTCCCAGACACGCCAAATGTAACTTCCAAGCCCCACTAAACGTAACTACCAAGGACCAGACGTGTCCCAGACATGTTTGTTCCAGACATGTCCCAGACACATTAAATGTAACTACTGAGGGCCAGACATGTCCCAGACACGCCAAATGTAACTACCAAGCCCCGCCAAATGTAACTACCGAGGGCCACACATATCCCAAGACACGCCAAATGTAACTACCAGGCCCCGCTAAATGTAACTACCGAGGGCCCATGCGACTATATATACCCCTAGAGAAAGCGCCCACAGAGAGACAGAGGGACTTGGGTTTTCTCTCTGCCAGAACTCTGGCGCTTCTGTATTCTTTTCTGTAAATCAATCCTGTCTTGCCACTGAACTGTGGTCCCTGGATTCATTCTTCCAATCACCGAGACCGAGAACCTCGGTCTGCAGAGCGAAATCCCGGTATCACGGCTACCCCTAAGCCAGGCTTTCCGCCAAGCGCAGGGCGGGGCGCCCACCCGGCCGCCCTCCTCCCCGCACACGGACACTCCCCTCCGGCCGGCAAGTCTGGGCTGGGTCACAGAGGCAGAGAGCAGGCAACGCCCGGCTCCGGCAACCTGGGAAGAGTCTAGCAAAGGAAAAAAGACCGAGAGCACTGCGAGGTGGAGCACTGGCCAGGAAAGCTCGACGCCCTCAGCTCCCTAGACCTTGGGGAGCTCACCTGCTCTCGGACATCTCAGGAAGGCTGAGGCGCGACCTCTCCAGCAGGCGCACAGTCCAGCCGCTAAGCGCCCGGAAGTACTATCAGAAGAAAGGAAGTCCCGCCTCCTCGGGCGTGAGCGACAGCGCCTGGAGCGCCGCTGTCCGAGTCTGCGGCGGTATTGGTGCCGGAAGGATGGGTCATGGCCCCTGAGCCCAAACCTCGCCCCCTCGCTGCCCAAGCGAGTTCCCCGCGCTGGGATGACAGAGCAATCCAGCAAAGCACGCGAGTTCCCGCTGACTTGCTACCACGGAAGTGAGTTACAAGTCCTGTAGGAAACTACCACATGGGAAGTACGTGGCTGTCACAGAGAAGAATATAGTGTTTGTCAACGGAAAAGAACCTAAACTCAGAAAAATAATTTAAAAAAGGTTTATTCTGGCCGGGCGTTGTGGCGGGCGCCTGTAGTCCCAGCTACTTCGGAGGCTAAGGCAAGAGAATCGCTTAAGCCCAAGAGTTCAAGGTTGCTGTGAGCTGTGATGCCACCGCACTTACCCAGGGTGACATAGTGAGACTCTGTCTCTAAATAAATAAATAAAGTTTATTCTGAGCTGAATATATGGGATCGTGGCCCAGAAACTACACCCAAGAAGCCTGGAGCTAAGTGGATAGGTTAGTTTGGTTTTATACATTTCAGAGAGCTGAGAGTTCCCTGTAAAGTCATAAATCACTACATGGAAGGCCTACATTGGTTTGACAAAAGAAAAAAAAAAGGCAGCAGCGGGGCATCACGGGCTAATGGTAGGTTTAAAGATTCTTTTGTTTGTATTGGTTAAGGAAATGAAGCTTTGGCTAAAGACCTGGAATGTTTTAAGTTAAGTCTATTAACCAGAAACAAGCCACTGGACATAAACTTAGACTCAAGCAATCTGTTAACTAAATTGATGACCTGCACGTGTGACTTATGCTTGTCTTGTATAGCCTTAGGCCTGTTAATAAGTTACTAAGGATATCTCTAAGAAAGGATGTGGTTGGCTGGACACCGGTAGCACAGTGGTTACAGCACCAGTCACATACACGGTGGCTGGGGGATTGGAACCCAGCCAGGGCCAGCTAAACAACAATGACAAATGCAACAGAAAAATAGCTGGGCGTTGTGCTGGTCGCCTGTAGTCCCAGCTACTTGGGAGGCTGAGGCAAGGGAATCACTTGAACCCAAGAGTTGGAGGTTACTGTGAGCTGTGTCGCCATGGCACTCTACCCAGGGCAACACAGTGAGACTCTGTCTCAAAAAAAAAAAAAGGATGTGGGAAGGTATCACTGGCAACTCAGCTTTAAGGTATTTCTTGGCGTCCCCTTGCCCAAAAAGGGGTTCATTCAGTCAGTTTAAGATTTTCTTTTATTTTTTATTGTTGGGGATTCATTGAGGGTACAAGAAACCAGGTTACACTGATTGCATTTGTTAGGGAAAGTCCTTCTTATAATTGTGTCTTGCCCCCCAAAGGTGTGTCATATACTAAGACCCCACCCCCCTCCCTCCTTCCCTCTCTCTACTCTTCCTTTCCCCCACTCCCCTCCCTCCTTCTCTGTCTCTCTGTTTTCCCCTCCCCCCCAGCATGTACCAGGTCATTAATTGTCCTCATATCAAAATTGAATACATAAGATTCATGCTACTCCATTCTTGTGATGATTTACTAAGAATAATGTGTTCCACTTGCATCCAGAGTTTAAGATTTTATTATTATTTTTTTTGAGACAGTCTCACTCTGTCACCCTGGCAGAGTGCCATGGCTTCACAGCTAACAGCAATCCTGAAACTCTTACACTTAAGCAATCATTTGCCTCAGCCTCCCCAGTAGCTGGAACTACAGGTGCTTGCTACAAACCCCTGCTAGTTTTTCTATTTTTAGTAGAGATAGGTCTCACTGTTGTTTAGGTTGGTCTCAAACTCCTGAGTTTAGGAAATCCACCCACCTCAGCCTCCTAGAGTGCTAAGATTACAAGCGTGAGCCACCCACACCTGGCCAATTTTATTTTACTTTATAGCCTACAAAAGTGAAAGAAAAAAATGAAGTAGCTAAAGCATAAGGCAGAATGACAGTAAGTGCAATTAATAGAAAAAATAATAGAAAAAACAACTATCTAGACAAGCTCTTTTTTTTTTTTTTTGAGCCGGAGCTCACTATGTCACCCTTGGTAGAGTGCCATGACGTCACAGTTCATAGCAACCTCAAACTCTTGGGTTCAAGTGATTCTCTTGCCTCAGCCTCCCAATGAGCTGGAACTACAGGCACCTGCTGCAACTCCCAGCTTTTTTTTGTTGCAGTTGTCATTGCTGTTTAGCTGACCTGGGCAGGGTTCGACACCCCCCACCCCCAGTGCAAGTGGCTGGCGTCATAACCACTGTGCTACAGGCACTGAGCTGACAAGTTCATTTCTATGCATCAGTTTTCTCATATGTTAAAATCTAATAACTGGGGCAGTGCCTGTGGCACAAAGGAATAGGATGCTGGCCCCATATGCCAAAGGTGGTGGGTTCAAACCCAGCCCTGGCCAAAAACTGCAAAAATAATAATAATAACTGGCTCATTGGTTAGTTGCAAGGATCAAATGAGATGACATAAACAAGCACTTAGCAATAGAGTCTGGCACATGATTAAAACATACATTACTGGCCAGGTGGCTCATGCCTATAAACCACGAACTCTGAGGGGCAAGGCCAGAGGATCATTTGATCTCAGGAATTTGAGACCAATGTGAGCCAGAAGAGAGACTGATCTCTACTAAAATAATTATCCAGGAAATGTTAAGCCTTTTTGATTTTGTGAAGGCAAAAGTGGAAACCTAGTAAACACATGTATATGTAAAAAAAAAGAGGCAATGTGCATGTTTGAGTTAAAGCCAATTTTAGGAAAATTATATCCACATAAAATTAACAGAATTAAAGATACGAGTATATAGATACTGACTTTCAACAGTATTTGTGTGAAAATTATGTAAGACCTTCAAATACTATGTGCAGAAATACGTATTTAGTGGAATAAAGAAAATCATTAATTCAAGAAAAAGAAAAAAATTAGCCAGGCATGATGGCATATAGCTTTAGTCCCAGCTACTCAGGAGGCTGAGGCAGGAGAATTGCTTGAGCCCAGGAGTTTGAGGCTGCAGTGAGCTATGATGACACCACTACACTCTACCTGGAGCAACAGAGGGAGATTCTGCCTCAACAAAATAAACAACAACAAAAACCCACATAATACCTATGCTATTATTTTAAATTTTGTATTTTTACTTTTATTATTATTATTTTTTTTTTAGAGACAGAGTCTCACTTTGTCACCCTCAGTAGAGTGCCATGGGAGTCACAGCTCACAGCAACCTCAGGCTCTTGGGTTTAAGCGATTCTCTTGCCTCAGCCTCCTGAGTAGCTGGGACTACAGATGCCCTCCACAACACCCAGCTGTTTTTTTGTTGCAGTTTGGCCCTCTGGGTTCAAACCCGCCACCATTGGTATATGGGGCCGTCGCCCTACTCACTGAGCCACAGGCACTGCCCTATTTTTATTATTATTATTATTTTTTGCAGTTTTTGGCCAAGGCTGGGTTTGAACCCAGCACCTCTGGCATATGGGGCTGATGCCCACTCCTTTGAGCCACAGGCGCCACCCTACTTTTATTATTTTTAAGTAACTCAGTAATTGTACATATTTATGGGTATAGTCTGATTTTTTTTTTTTGAGATAGAGCTTCAAGCTGTCCCCCTGGGTAGAGTGCTATGGCATCATAGCTCACAGCAACCTCCAACTCCTGGGCTCAAGTGAGTCTCCTGCCTCAGCCTCCCAAGTAGCTGGGACCACAGGCGCCCACCACAATGCCCGGCTATTTTTTGGTTGCAGCCGTCATTGTTGTTTGGCGGCCCGGACTGGATTCAAACCTGCCACCTTGGGTGTATATGGCTGGCGCCTTAGCCACTTGAGCCACAGGTGCCGAGCCTGATTTATTTATTTATTTATTTTTTTGAGACAGTCTCAAGCTGTTGCCCTGGGTAGAGTGCCATGGCATCACAGCTCACAGCAACCTCAAACTCTTAGGCTTACATGATTCTCTTGTCTCAGCCTCCCAAGTAGCTGGGACTACAGGTACCCGCCACAACACCTGGCTATTTTTTGGTTGGAGTTGTCATTGTTTAGCAGACCCAGGCTGGGCACGAATCCACCATCCTCGGTGTATGTGGCTGGTGCCCTAACTCATTGAACTACGGGTGCCGAGCCACCGTCTGATAGTGAGTTTACAGTGAGTAATTATCAAATCAGTGTAATTAGCATAGCCATCACCGCAAACATTTATCATTTATTTGTGTTCGGAACATTTAAAATCCACTTATCTAGTTATTTGGAAATAAACAATAAATTGTTGTTAATTATAGTCATCCTATGAGGCTATAACACTAAAATACAGTCTTTTTGTTTTGTTTCATTTTGAGAGGGAGTTTCAGTTTGCCCCCCTCAGTAGACTGCCGTGTCATCGTAGCTCACAGCAACCTCAAACTCCTGGACTCAAGCGATTCTCTTGCCTCAGACCTCCTGGTAGCTGGAACTACAGACCCCTTGCCACAACACCTGACCATTTTTAGAGACAGTGTCTCACTCTTGTTCAGGCTGGTATCAAACTCCTGAGCTCAGGTTATCCATCTGCTTTGGTCTCCCAGAGTGCTAGGATTAAAGATGTGAGCCACTGTGCCAGGCCAAATATACTCTTTCTATCTAGCTATACTTTTGTATCCTTTAACCTTTAGCTGACCCCACCTGCCCATGCTATTACTAATATTGAGGGAAATAAAAGAGATATTTATTTTTGAGGCAGGGTCTCAGTCCATCACCCTGGGTAGAGCACAGTGGCAATATCATAGCTTACTACAGACTCAAACTTCTGAGCTTAAGTGATCCTCCTAACTCAGCCTCCCGAATAGCTGGGACTATAGGCACCACCATGGCCAGCTAATTTTTCTATTTTTGGTAGAGATGGGGTCTCACTCTTTCTTAGGCTGGTCTCAAGCAATTCTATTATTGTTGCTGATAAAAATTAAAGCAGATGGTTGGGGCTGTGGCTCATGCCTATAATCCTAGCACTCTGGGCCTGAGGCAGGTGGATTACTTGAGTTCAGGAGTTTAAAGATCAGTCTCAGGAAGAGCAAGACCCCATCTCTAGGTGGGCATTGTGGAGGCACCTGTAGTCCCAGGCTGAGGCAAGAGGATTGTTTGAGCCCAATAGTTTGAGGTTACTGTAAGATATGATGCCAGGCACTCTAGCCTGGGGCAACAGAGTCTCTATCTCAAAAAACAAACAAACAAACAAATAAATAAATAAAAGAGGGTTTCATTTATTTATTTTTTGAGACAGGGTCTCACTGTGTTGCCCTGCAGTGGCATCATCACAGCTTACTGCAGCCTCAAACTCCTGAGCTCAAGGGATCCTCCCACCTCTCTCCCCCAGGTTGTCAGAATTACAGGTGTGAGCCATTATAACTGGCCTGTAAGAGGTCTTTAAACCCAACTAAAGGGGAATTCAATAACTACATGTCAGGGAAGTAGCATTCAAGCTGAATGTTAAGGTCGAATTAAGATTTCAATAGGTAGAGATACATATCCAGCCTCCTAAGCAGCTGGGACTACAGGCACCTGCCACAACGCCCAGCTATTTTTTGTTGCAGTTGTCGTTGTTCAGCTGGCCTGGGCCAGGTTCAAACCTGCCAGCCTCGGTGTATGTGGCTGGTGCTGTAACTACTGTGCTACCAGTGCCGAGCCATGCTTTTCATAATTAATGGAAGGACATAGGCTGAGAAACTTTGTGAGAGGTCAAAGACAGAAAATAAAAATTATTCTGAGACTCGAGATGAAAGGCAAACAGAATCCAGGCTCTGTTTGGGGAACAGGGGCCTTTATTTCCAGAAGACGAGCTGAGTTGGAGAAAGAAGTCAGCGCATGGGTGATGGTGTATGGGGGTTTAAAGGCTGCAAGGGTGGGGGGTTGGCACATCCACCTTCCCAGGGTAGGACATCCATCGAAAGAATAGAGGTTGATCCATTTAGATTACTGTATTTGGGCAGGGTTCCTACCTTTGACTCTATCACTTTGTTCCTTAAAATAAACTTTCAGAAGCTTTGCTGTTTGAAATTCTATCAGTAAAAGTGGAATATCCCACTCATTGACATATGTGTGAGAATTGTAGGTGCCTGGGAGAAACATAGTAGTCTAAGGAAACACCAATAGAGAAACAAGAACATCTTTTTTTTTTTGAGACAGAATCTCAAGGTGTCGCCCTGGGCAGAGTGCTGTGGCATCACAGCTCACAGCAACCTCAAACTCTTGGGCTTAAGCGATTCTCTTGCCTCAGCCTCCCAAATAGCTGGGACTACAGATGCCTGCTACAACACCTAGCTATAATTTGGCTGAGGCCAGGTTTGAACCTGCCACCCTCAGTATATGGGGCTGGCACCCTATTCACTGAGCCACTGGCACTGCCCAGAAATGTTTTTTTTAAAAGTAAAGTTTCATAAAGTTCAGATTTCCTTATTATAGCACAAATACCATACCATAGGCAGTTTCTATATATATATTTAAAAAGTTTCCATATCACTTTTATTATTTTTTGAGACACAGCCTCAAGCTGTTGCCCTGGGTAGAGTGCCATTGCATCACAGCTCACAGCAACCTCCAACTCCTGGGCTTAGGCAATTCTCTTGCCTCAGTCTCTCAAGTAGCTGGGACCACAGGCACCCACCACAACTCCTGGCTGTTTTTTTGTTGCAGGTTGGCTGGGATTGGGTTTGAATCTGCCACCCTTGATATATGGGGGTGCCGCCCCACACCTGGCTTTGTTTTTAAGAGATGGGGTCTCACTCTTGCTCAGGCTGGTCTCGAACTGGTGAGCTCAAGCAAGCCACCTGCATTGGCCTCCCAGTGTTAGAATTATAGGCATGAGCCACCGTGCTGGGCCAGACACTGAGATATTTGTAGAATCAGCATTTAAGAGAAAAGAGCTTTGTGGTCTTTGGGCCCACTAGCTGAAAAGAAAATGGCTTGGAACTGGAATAGATGAATTGGCAGCTGCTCAGATAGCACAGAAATATCAGGATCAAAATTCTTGGAAGCTCAAGTCTTTTTTATTGACAGACTCAACAGAACATTTGTGGTAGTAGGGGTGAGTTGGTCACAATATCCTGCTACAGTGATTTCTGACATTCAAATTAGACCTTTATAAATGTGGCTCCTTTAGATTCCTTCAGCTTTCTATTATGATTATCTGTGCAGATGGGTTTCATCTTCTTCTTCTTTTTTTTTTTTTTGAGACAGGATCTCAAGCTGTCATCCTAGGTAGAGTGCTGCAGTGTCATGGCTCACAGCAACCTCCAACTCTTATGCTCAAGTGATCCTCTTATTTCAGTTTTTCTATTTTTAGTAGAGATTGGGGGGGGTAATCTCGCTCTAGCTCAGGTTGGTCTTGAACCCGTGAGCTCAGGCAATCCACCTACCACGGCCTCCCAGAGTGCTAGGATTACAGGTGTGAGCCATCATGCTCAGCCTATAGATGGGTTTCTAAATTGAAACAAATTCCTATCTCCCCAATTTAATTAGTTTTTGGAGAATAACAGCTTGAATCAAATTTTTAAAAAGGTGATAGGCTAAAAGAGTAAAAAAAAAAAAAATTAGCTAAAAACAAGCTTTCAGGATCAATCAAGAATAACTTAATTCATTTTCTTCTTTAAACATCTTACTTAAATGCTTTATTAGGGCTACTAGCTGAGGGTTCCCACCACATGCATCAATTTGTTTGTAGGCTTTAGATTCAAGCTCTTTAAGAGTATTTCGAGTATATTCAAAAGAACCTACCTCCTCAAGATAGTGGACACAGTATTTTTTAATATCTATGTTTTCTGTTCTCTGGCGCAAGATATTCTGCACCTGGGTGCTTTCAGGCCTAGACCAAATGGCATGAATAGTAGGGAATGAGAACTTTCCCTCTGTTAGATCTTCACAAAAACTTTTGTTTTCACTATATTCTTTAGAGTGTAGATTAGCATAATCATCCCTAATTTGAAAAAAGAGACCAAGAGTATCAAGTAGTGGCTTTAAATCTTCTTTGTAATCAGAGAACAACTGCATGAGACCTACTGCTAATCCAAACAGCCCACCTGTCTTTTGCAGCACCATAGCTCTATATTCTTCTTCAGTGGGACAAGTATAATGATCCCTCCAGTAAATATCTAGGCCTTGTCCCTGATGGAGTTCCAAAAGCTGGCGGGTGAAAAGCTTTACTGCATCTGGATGATCAAGGGTTAAGACTTTCTCCAAGCCAAGGAAATATACATAGTTGGCAGAATTGATGACAGATGGAATTCCATAGATGCTGTGTGCCACGGGAAAGCCACGTCGGAGTTTTGAGTTGTCTTCAATATCATCAATAAGTAAACTGGCATTATGCAACATTTCTGTCACTTCAATGATAATCTGGTAAGAAAGAATTAAAAATTTCACTTTATTAGAACTGTTCAATAAATAGCTTATATTTACATTAACAGTTTATAAAAGTCTCAAGTGTCTTCTTTTTTATTTTTTATTTTTTTGGAGACAGTCTTATTATGTCGCCCTCAGTAGAGTGCTGTGGCGTCACAGCTCACAGTAACCTCACAGTAAACCCTGGGGCATTAAGTGATTCTCTTATTCAGCCTCACAGGTAGCCGGGACTATAGGCGCCCACCACAATGCCTGGCTATAAGGTGTGTTAACTGTTACAATGAATAATTATTTAGCAACCTCAACATAAAATAACGTATTGCATAAGCATTTTTTTTTTT